TGTATGACTGTTTGTCTGTCTGTAAATGCAACTGTGTCATGCAATGCCCTCGGAAGTTAGAAGAGGGTGTTGGATTCCCTGGAACTAGAATTTACTATTAGTTCTTAGCTGCCATGTGGGTGCTGGGAACCAAAACCATGTCCTCTGTAAGAATAACCAGTGTTCTTAACTGCTGAGACATCTCCCTGGCCCCCAAATGTCCTTTTTAAAATTTTTTCTTGGGTTGGAGATATTGCTCAGTAGAATGCTTGCTTGCCTGGCATAAAATATGCATGATGACACGTGCTTCTGATTCCAGAACATAGGGGGCTGAGGCAGGAGGGTCAAAATTTCAAGGTCAGGGTTGACTATATAATAAGTGACAGGTTGACTGGCAGTGGTGGCTCACACCTGCAATCCCAGCGATTGGAAACCTGAAGCAAGAAGATTGCCACAAATGTGAATCCAGCCTATGCTACAGAGTGACACTCTATCTCAAAAAAGTATTTCTTGGCTCTTTGTTTTTTCTAACCAATCAACTCTAGTATCACCATTTCAAGCATCAAAAGATATCCTATTTTATTTTGTTACATTAAACCTATAAATTAATTTGAGAAGAACTGACAATTTTATTATAGTCATTGTTATCCAGGAACTTGGCAAGACTCCCATTCATTCAAGTCTTCTTTTACAGTCTTCAGTAAAATGTCATATATATACACATATATGTATGTATATGTAATATTATATTGTTTCTATTTCTTGTTATGGTTATATAAAATATAACCATATTTTATATCATTCATTTTGAGGTTAGTTACAATCTGATTTCTACCTATTAATCTTAATTCTTTTGTTACTAAAAGAAAGGGGTGGGTGGGGAGGGAAGCAGTAGAAATTATTGGAAAAACATTGAAGAAGCTGGAATTAGGAGAAGAGATGAAGTTTTTGGGAAAGGAGGCAAAGCTGTTGTCAAGTTGACTGGACTCATGGACCAAAATACAGCTGGATTTCCCTTCCCATAGTGTTTCTCTGTCTCTTTTATTCTTGAATTTCTGTCTCATTTCTCATGTCTAGATGTATTTGTGTTCTGGTCTTATTCCTCTATTTCCATTATCTGAACGTGGAGGGGACAATAGCTTTCCTGTGATTTCCTTGTTGCTAATTCATTGGACACTTTTCAATTCTTATGATTGTATTATCCTTAGAACTCTTTAAAGTTAAGAGAACCTCTTCAAGTTTTTTTCTCTCTGTTTCAACGGTACGTTTTGTTTTGTTTTGTTGAGACAGGGTCTCACTCAGTGGCCTTACTTAAATTCCTGATCCTCCTGCCTCTGCATCCCAAGTGCTAGAATTATGGACTACAGGTGTTTACCATCATGCCTAGACTTCTTATTCTTGCTGTTCATCTTATAATTTTCAGTTTTAACTCTTCCTTCTCCCACCCATTACTTGTTTTATGTAGGCTTTCATCTTTGGTTTATCTCTTTTTCTTCTAAACTCTCACAACCATTCTGTGGTTTTATTTATTTATTTATGGTCTTTTTCTTTTCTTTTTTTTTTTTTTTTGAGACAGGGTCTCCCTGTAGTCCCAGCTGTCCTGGAACTCACTGTGAAACTATGTAGACCAAGCTGACCTTGAACTCACAGACATCTGCCTGCCTCTACCTCCCAAGTGCTGGGATTAAAGGTGTGCACCACCACACCTGGCTATTTATGGTCTTTTTGAGCCCCAGCTGGCCTGGAACTCACTATGTAGACAAGGCTGGTTCACATCTACAATCCCAGCACGTGAGGGATAAAAGCGGGAGAATCAAGAGTTCAAGGTCAACCTTAGTTACAAGGAAAGTTTGAGACCAGTCTGAGCTACATAAGACCCTATTCAAATCTCTCCCTTCAAAAGGTGGAATGAGGGTAGGGATTTAGATTTTCCTACCACACATGAGGCCCTGGGTTTGATCATCAGCACTGGGGGTTGGGGAGAACCAAAGATGAACTGGGAAAAATATTTGGTTCTCATATCATAGGCAAATACTAATTTTCCTAATATGGGGTATAATTTGATTTTTTTTCTTCTTTAAAAAATTTCAACTAGGAGCATCTTACTGTTATTTATATTTCATCTCTAATATTCATGGAGTGTTGTCTCCCCAGTGGCAATACAGTATTAAAGTCCTAAAAGCAGGACAAAGAACAACAGGAAAGAACAGAAGTCACAGGAAGGCACTGGTCTTCCATTTGTGAGGCTCAGCACATACCTGGATATTTTAAATTGCTGTTAAACCAGTGTCTACAACTCTGAGATGTTGTGCTGGATAGCTTTAGTGTCAACATGACATACCTGGGTTGAGGGAGCCTCAACTGGGGAATTGCCTCCATTGGACTGGCCTGTGACCATGTCTGTGAGGCATTTTCTTGATTGTTGAGTAATGTGGGAGGGCCCAGCCCACTGTGGGTGGTGCCACCCCTGGGCAGGTGGGCCTGTGTTACATAAGAAAGCAGGCTGAGCAGGGGCCAGGGGGTAAGCCAGTAAGCAGCATTCCTCCATGGCCTGTGCTCCAGCTCCTGCCTCCAGGTTCCTGCCCTGAGTTCCTTCCTTGGGCTCCCTGATGAACTGTGACCCAGGAGATGGAAGCTGAATAAACCCTCTCCAAGTTGGTATTTGTCAGAGTATTTTGTCACAGCCATGGAGAAACAAACTAGGACAGATATAAATATGAAACAGTCTAAATTTTCCAGTAGATATCATTGTTGTGTTCAGTTGAACTGCGCATTGTCTCTGAATTTCCTCACACCTGATTTCACAATGTTGGTTTATTTTTCCTTTAAATTTGTTTATTTTTATGCATATGAGTGTTTCATCTGCATGTATGTAAGTGTACCTGTGTTATGCAATGCCCAAAGAGGCCAGAAGATGGCATCAGATTTCCTGAAACTGGAGTTAAAGATGGTTGTTAGCTGCCATGTAGGTGCTGGAAACCAAACCTGGGTCCTCTGCAAGAGCAGCCAATGTTCTTAACTACTGAGCCATCTCTCCAGCTCCCTGGTTTGCTTTACATTTTCTTCAGTGCTGGAGCTCAAACCCAGGGCCTCACACATGATAGGCAAGTATTGTACCACTGAGCCACATCCCCTGTCCTGTTCATTTACTTTTTTGTTTTGTTTGAGACAGGGCCTAACTATTTAGACCAGGCTGGCTTTGAACGCGCATTGTCTCTGCTTTCCAAGTGCTGGGATTAAAGGCATGGACAGCCTGGCCCTGTTCATATACTTTTAATTTTGAAACTATCCATTTTAGATAATAAGGTTCTCTTGCTTTAGCTTATTTTTCTATATTTTAAAAAAAATTGGGTTCTGCCCGCTTTTCTGAGTCATGACTTTCTGAATTCTCAAGAAGGCATAACTCTTTCTTTTTCTTTGTTTCTGTCTCATTCTCTCAGGTGCTGGCTTGAGCCTAAGTGTACTTTTTCTGGAAATGGGCTTCCTTACTCTTTCTCTTAAGTCTCCCCTTTTGGCCATGCAGCTGTTTGTTAGCTAAGTAGCCAACCTCTAAGCCTAATGCAAACAACATGGCTTTCTCTATCTCCCTCTTAAGCTCTCACCTATGAATCTATAATAAACTCCTCTCCAAAACTAAAATACTCAAAAAAGAAAAAGTAAAGTCAATGAAACCTTTTTTTGTACCTTATGGCTCAAAATATCTAAAGCACAGAAAGGTTATCTCATGAAGAGACTAGCCCTTTTTGGCACTGGGCTATGCAGGCTAGGTGTGCCACAACTCTAGAGATCTTTCTTTGCTTGTCTTCTCTGTCAGTGTTTCTCAGGATTAAATGCACACAAGAAACAACCCAGTACCCCTCTTCAAAGGTAGACTGTGAATCAGGCATGGTGGCACATGCCTGTAGTCCCAGAACTTGCAGGATGGAAGCAGGAGAATCTGAAATTCAAAGTCATCTTTGCTTACATTGTGAGTGGGAGGCCAGCCTGGGATAGGTGACATACTGTCTCAAAAAACCAAACAAACAAAAAGCAACAAAAACAAACACAGGTAGATGATGATCAGGGAGTCTGGAGTGTGAGCTGATTCTGCATTTCTAGAAAACTCCCAAGGAATGTTTGCTGCTGCTGCTCTGGGAACCATACTTTGGCAGCAACAGCCTATGATTGTGCCTCCGATGTGTGTCCGACTTGTGCAGTCTTACGTGGAAGCCCTGTGCTGTCCATCTCCCCCAAGACTCCCCAGTTTTAAATATTCTTGGTCTCAGCATTACCTCTCCCACCCTCTCGGCATTTTTCTTCTGTTCCAGAAGCAGCTGACCCGGAGCATCTACCCCATTTCTCCTACATCGAATCAAATTCTGTAAGCACAAACAACCTAAAATCAATTATAATTGTCAATTTGTTAATGTTTTAAGAATAATGAAACAAAGAGCTAAATTATCCCTCATAAATCATCAAACTGATATGTAAATACATGCAGAAAGTAATACACAAAGGCTTAAGCTTAAGTGACAGAATGGCTACATTTCTGAATTTAATAAACTGAACTGTCATACAGGAGAGTGTCTCAATCTTAGTACCACTGGCTTTTGGGTAGATATTCTTCACTGTGGGGTGGTCCAATGCAACACAGCTTGTTTATCAGCATCTTAGCCTCTTCCCACTAAAAAACACCCCTTGACAGTAGCCAACTGTGAACTCCACTTTAGAAAGTGCAATAGAATGTGCTTTCCATCGTATCTCTTTTGATGACGTCTTTGTCAGTAAAAAAAGATAATTTTCCCTTCTCACTCAAACCAATGGATTTTGTGCTTCTAGGAAAAGGGTGAGCTGGAACTCAACCTCAAAACCAGACTCCAGGGAAACTCAGAAAGACACTAGTTTTCAGATCTCTGAGACTGTTACGGACATCAAAAAATCCTATCTTGCAGCAAGGCATGGGGTGCATGTGCTGTTGCGCCCCAGGCTCTGTCACAAACTTATCTGGCTGTAGCATGCTTCAGTGGGGCCAGCACCCATCTGGTAGCTTTCTCCAAAAATGAGGAACCAGGACTTTTTACAGTATCTCATGGTAGAAAAAGAACACATTGTCTAGTGGCTCCAGCCTGAAACATTGTGTGTGGGGGGGTCCTTCATAAGATGACAGATCAACCTTGGCTTAATTTGATTTAGAAAAACAAAGAAGTATGATCCCTCTCCCATATCTAGGAAATATGAAGCAGTATAAGAGCAACTCAGGAGCCAAGTAAGCAATTTGAGAGCTCAGCCTGGCATAATCTCTTGAGTAATCACAAAGCAATGAAACACAGTTATGTTTACAAGAATTAAGGAACTTGAAAATTAACATGCCAGAATTAGATTGGACATATTTTCATACTAGTGTGTTTGATTTAAGGTTTTCTGGTTACTAAGAATACCAGTAAGTGAGAAATAAAGATTTCATAAATGAAGAGGTCCCTGAGATAATCTCCTTTTGGGCCAAACTTCGCATTAAAATAGTATATATATACATACACACACACACACACACACACACACACACACACACATATATATATATGCAAGACTCTGTGGGCACCACATTGTTTCTTCATGGATTGAAACAGTAGGCCTTGAATCTAAAGCTGATCAGACAGCTTGACTATAATGCAATGGTTTAAATTCACCTGCACATTTTGTGCTTGAAAAATGAAGGTGTGATTGGCTTTAACTCACACATTTAAAAGACATTAATGGGTTTCTTATAGCTGAATAGCCAAGTCCCTGAATGCCTTGTTTCTCTTGATATGATTAGCTGCATAAATAGTAAAGGACAAACTTAAATTTTAATTTAAAAGTATTTATTTTTATTGTGTGTGTGTGTGTGTGTGTGTGTGTGTGTGTGTGTGTGTGTGCCAATCCTGGAGCTGCACATGTGATTTCCAGTTCTCTTCTCATTCTAAATCCTGCAGAAGAGTTTACATTTTGAGACTGTTTCCTCTGTAAATAGGTGCTTTGGTTTAAAGATGTACCTTGAGAGTCCTGTGTTGGAAATTTAATCCTTCAATTCCTAGGTCAATAATATTTGAAGACAGAGTCTTCAGGAAGTTATTAAGTTAGAAGAAGTCATGGGGGTGGGGCTCAAAGGCTGGCATTCTTGGCTGTTTAAGGAGAAAAAGAAATGGACTGGGAACACTGCTCAGTCAGTAAGTTGGAAAACTCCTACTGCACACGAACCCGAGTTTTTTTGTTTTTTGTTTTTGAGGGGTTTTTTGGTCTTTTTTGAGACAGGGTCTCTCTGTAGCCCTAGCTGGCCTGGATTCACTATGGAGACCAGGCTGGCCTTGAACTCACAGAAATCCACCTGCCTCTGCCTCCTGAGTGCTGGGATTAAAGGTGTGCGCCACCACACCCAGCGCAGAACCCAAGTTTTTAAAGTGCCCTTGTAATATCAGTGCTGGGGAGACTCAGACATCTTTTTGGCTCCTGTCAATCCAAGTGTATTTGTTGAGTTCCAATCCAGTGAGAGACCCCATCTCAAAAAAAGTATAAATGAAGTAAAATATAAAGGTGGTGCCAGCTGTGGTGGCACATGTCTTTAATCCCAGCACTCGGGAGGCAGAGGCAGGCGGATCTCTGTGGGTTCAAGGCCAGCCTGGTCTACATAGTGAGTTCCAGGACAGCTGGGGCTACAGGGAGACCCTGTCTCAAAAAAACCAAAAAAAAAAAAAAGTGGATGGTACCTTAAATGTACACAGGGGTGCATTTGCACTTGTACACACACACACACACACACACACACACACACACACACGCACGCACACCAAATACCTTTTTTCTTTATAAATTACCTAGTCTCAGGTGTTCTGCTATAACAATGGAAAACAGCAGAGAAGAGCCACTTTTAGAAACTATGAAGCTAGAAAAAGTAACAAAATTCTACCAGACCAACACACACAGCAATAATAACAGTTCCAAATACAGAATTTCAGATTTCACAAAAGTCTTAGGGTAAGGTTTGAAGGATAAATAGCAGTTTGCCAGTGACCAGGATAGGGAGAAGGTGGGCATTCCACTCAAAAAGCATATAAGTATCAAAGAGAATGAATGTTTGAGCCACTATATAGAATTGTTATCTCTGGAATTTCAAATAACATTAGGCTAGATATGGGGACATATGCCTATAATCCCTGCACTGGGAGTTCTACCTGAGTTTGAGGTAGAATCCTGAGTTTGAGGCCATTCTGTTCTACATAGTGAGTTTCAGTGAGGCCTGCCTGAGCTACATAGAGACAGACACCTTGGAGAAACAAAAAAAGGCACATTATAAGTGGACATGTGTGTTATAACAACTAACGCCATCCTTAACTTACAAGTGATTGTGAGGGGATGAATTGTATATTCCTCAAATTCCAAATTCCTATGTTGAAGTCCAGTCAATATCTCCAAGTATGATAATATATTTAGACTTAAGTGTTTAAAGAAGATGATATAGCTCTGGCTGGCCTGAAACTTGCAATGTAGACCAGGGTGACTTCAAACTAACCTGCCTCTGTTTGATGAGTGCTGGGATTAAATGCAAGGGCCACCATGCTAGCTTTTTTACCTTTTTCCTTTTTTTTCTTTCTCTTTTTTTTTGAGACAAGGTCTCAAGTAGCTAAGCCTGACTTCAAACTCACTATGTAGCCAAGAATGACCTTGAACTCATGGCAGTCTTTCTGCCTCAGGTGCTGGGATTACAGGTGTCAACTCAGTTTAAAGTAACAGTTCAATCCAGGCATGGGGGCAGATGACATGGTTCCTATTTTCAAATGACTCACATTCTAGTTGATACTTGAAAAAATGTGATCAGAAACCTTTTAAAATTACGGTTCAAGAAGGGAAATACGTAACCTTGTGTCGGGTGCTTTTAATCTCAGTACTCAGAGCCAGAGTCAGGTGGATCTCCTTACATTGGGGGCCAACCTTGTCTACATAGTAAGTTTCAGTCAAGCCATGGTTGCACAGTGAGTCTCTATCTCTGTCTCTCTCTCTCTCCCTTTCAAAAAAAAGCAATTCTAACAACAATATTTGTAATTCCTGGTGTATTATATTCTCAGCAAAGATCAAATAGACAACAACAAAGTTCAACTATGTAATCTCAACTATGTAATAAAAGATTGTTTCTGACAATATTGAGAAAAGAACAGTGGCTATGTTTATAAGTAAAAGTGAATTTACAAGTGCTTTGTGGGGGGCTAGTGAGATGGCTCAGTGGGTAAAGCCACTTGCAGCCAAGTCTGAAGACCTGCATTCCATCCCTGAGATCCAAATGTTAAAAGGAGAAAACTGACTTCCATAAGTTGTCCTCAAACTTCCACACATAAGTGTAGCATAAGTGCCCACATCCACACACAAGATAAATTAAACAAAAATGTAAAAAAAAAAAAAAAGTGCTCTTTTGACAGGCATAGTGGCTCATCTTTGGGTTTTTTGTTGTTGTTTTGTTTTGGATTATTATTGTTGGGTTTTTGTTGTTTTTGTTTTTTTTTTGTCTCTGTCTCCCAAGGGCTACAATTAAAGGTTTGATTTGTTTTACATTTATTTATTTATTTACTTATTTATTTTTATTTATTTATCTATGGGGGGGCATTCTAGTGCCATGGTACATGTGTGGAAGTCAGAGGACAACTTGTGAGAGTTGGTTCTCTCCTTCTACCATGTGGGTTCTGGGGATCAAACTCAAGTCATCAAACTCAGTGGTAAATACCTTTACCTAATGAACCATCTGTCTGACCTGGCGTCTTATCTTGTAATCCCAGCACTTGCGAGGTTTAGATAGGTGGACTGCCATGAGTTCCAGACTAGCCTAGATTCATAGTAAGTTCCAGGCCACCCTAGATTATATAGTGAGACCCTGATTCAAATAACAACCACAAAGTACTCTTTCTGAATGGACTATTCTACCAGTTTCCCCATCACCTATCCATGCTGTCATATGTACACAATACATACGATTGACCGATATGTTTACAATCCTCCTAGCTGTCATTTCCCTCAATCACTGGAAAAGCATTTATTATTTTATTAAATGCTCTGTGCTAGGACTGGCAGTATAAGCTCAGTAGTAGAATATTTACCTAGCATTCATGATTGAGTCCCAGTACTGAATAAATAAAAAGGCCAAGTGTGAGAAACTATTCTAAGACGTGGTTCCTATTTCCAAATATGTCACAACTCTCCTTTAGGAAAACCATACCTCTGCTCTGGACTGTGTCTCATTTTTTTCCCCAAGCACCTCTCTTTCTCTTAAATCTCATGTTTAAAATCTGTATTAAAATAGCTTTCCCTTTAAAAAATTTTTTTTCATATTTTATTTATTATTTTTATTTTATGTGTA